TAGCCTACAGCCCACAGCCCATAGCCCACAGCCAATTGCCCATAGCCCACAGCCCATAGCCCATAGCCTACAGCCCATAGCCCATAGCCTACAGCCCATAGCCCATAGCCTACAGCCCATAGCCCATAGCCCATAGCCTACAGCCCATAGCCCACAGCCCACAGCCCACAGCCCACAGCCCATAGCCCATAGCCCATCGCCAGTGGCCCATGGGGCTTTCTGTGGCATCAGAAAGCCTTTTGGGCAGGTTTAATGTTTCCCTCTCTCTCAGTGTGTGAGCTGACTCACAGTGCAGCCATCAGCCTTAGCCTGCTCGATACACTCCATGGCCAGCATGTGATCGATGCCTGGATCCAGTCCCATCTCGTTCACAATGGTGATGCCTGCTTCCTCCACACTCACACACGCACACAGGAAGACTCTCAAACCTGTAGGTTTTGAACTGGATTCTTTCTATTACATGTATTTTACTTTAAATCCGACACATTCAAAATATTTCAAATGTTTGTTTTTCCAACACAGTGGTTTCCAAGGCCAACCAGTTGGTTTAGAAGCAGCTTTTTCTTCCTGTTTCTACCCACTCTAGAAACACTCAAGTCAGTTCACAACAGCAGCTGTTCACAAATACTGTTTTAGGTCACTGTGATAAAAAAGTTGATGATGATGAGGTCAACATTAAGAGGGGGATGTTTGGACCAAAATCTCCATCTTGAATAACAATACAGAGGATTTTCCAACAGCTTCTGTTCCTCAGTGAGTTTATCAGTTTTAGCTAAGATATTGCTCTGCTCCATTTTTCTTATTAACTTTTTCTGTTCATCAGTTGGTGTCATTTGTTTTTAGTACAACAAATGACACCAACTGATGAACAGCATCTGAATGATGCTTTGATTTATGTGATGCTTATGTTGCTCTGGTTAATATAATACTAATGCAGTTCTGGATAAATGTTGCTATGATTTCCTTTTTTTATTATTAATATTGATTGGGCCTTCTTTATTATTATTATTATTATTATTATTATTATTATTATTATTATTATTATTTATTATTTAGTTTTGCCTTCTTTGAGTTTCTGCTGCTGTTGTAATGTTAATGTTTGATACGATGTTTGCTGGGTCAGATGGCCATTCTGATGCAGTGCTGAAGTTGTAATTGCTAACTCAGATCTATGAACACTAACATCTGCAAAACGTTGCAGATTGTCAGATAAATTCAGGGGTTTGCTTGGTGGGTGTTGTGGTTCCAGTAGAACCTGGATAAGTTGAGTTAATTTTATGTTTGTAGCCAAGAATATCTCCTCCAATATCTGTGTATTTTAGTTCTTTTAGGTAGGAAGGCCTGTGTTGCCTGGTGTGGGTCAACTGTCAACAGAATTTAACTTGTTTGTTCAGAATTCAATTTGTAGACATCCATACGCAAGTCTGATTTTTTTCAGACTAATTTGTTTTTAGTTTGATTCAGAGTTAGCTGTTGACACTCGTGAAATATTTAAATTGTTCATATTTTGGAAGTTGCTGAAGAGACCTTTTACTTTTAGCTAATTTTGCCTTTCATGATATTTTGCTGTATGAACAATGTTTTATTACTGTAGAATTGTAATCATTTTCTGACAGTTCATGTGAATGCTTATGTTGGACTAGGAAGGGGACATCTAGTGGCACATGAGCCCCACTAAGACGTTCTTCACCAGCTACCAATGGTAAAAACCAAAGCAAAGTGATATAAAGACATCTTTGGGTTATCACAGATTTTAGTCTTCATGATTAATAGCAGCAACACAGTAATCATTATGAAAATTTATTATCAATAATTATACCTGCAACTATAAACTTTTGACACTAAAACTTAATTAATATGTTATTTCTTTTCTATTTTAAGTAGTTGTAAAATAAGGTGGTGAGATCTTGGGAAAGTGATTTAAATCTCAACATGATTCTTGTTGGTCACCTGCTCTGCAGCTCCTTCATAGCAGGACTCAGGTAGCTGGCAGTCACCATGTTCACCTTCCTCCTTATGCAGTGTTTGGCGACAATGGGATGGAAAGAGTAAGGCAGCATGCTGGGAAACAGATGGAAAGTTTAGAAGCATTAATTTCACAGGGCTTAATACCTTAGTCTGCCAGTGTGGGAATAGGTCACTGTTGGAAATAATTGTACATATAATATAGCTGCAAAACACAGAAAACTGATTACTCTGGGTGCAAAGTAAATAGAAAAGCTGCTGGTACCTGATGACCAGGTCATGATCTGTGACCAGAGAGTCCAGGTGTCCCTCCTGACTGCTGGCATCCAGCATGATGGGGATGGTGTTGGGATACCTGGCTGCCAGCTCCTCAGCCTGTTTCAGAAGCATAGACGCTAAATGGAAAAGAGAGCAGAGAAAACATCTTCAACATGCTGATTGACTGGACTGGTTACCTTTCTATAATATCAGATTACCGTTTTTCATATTACATCGTCTACATTTAACATCTTTCATACTGAATAAGACAGATTGCCAGTCCTATCCCCTATGCAATAAATATTGAAGAGAGGTTGGAACCTATTACCATTATTTCTGGCATTGCAAACTGATCATTCTGGGGGGCAATTTCTAAAGATTTGAGTGACGTGTTTCCTGTCAATATCAGCTGTGACCCAGGATTGTTTCTGCTTGGCCTCCCGTCCAAATCAGTCACTCACAATCACACTTCAAACTTTGTGGCAAATTATTGCTTTTGGCTAGAAAATGTCTTTTGATCCACTGGATTAAGAATAATTATTTAGAGTCCTCTGTCATGACAGGATTAATGCAGTTCTTAGGGGTAATGAGAAACATTTCATTGATATGTGGTCTCCTGTGCTTAGCTGTTTACCTAAAGAGATGACCCAACTTGTGATGAAAGGTCAGAATCCTATAAAGTGGAAAGTCTCACCAGGTCTTAACTAAAGAATATCCTCCTTTTGTATTACTAAGCATCTTTCTTTTTCTTTTCTTTTATCACCACAGCAGCTAGCTATGATTGTGTTGTTGTCAAGTTTTAAATCTGTTTGTAAATGTTTGGTGACCATTGAAGACAGGATTTGACATGAGTGTGACATAGTACGGCAGCAGTTTTTTTGTTTGTTTGTTTCTGTTTCTCTTCTTTATAATCTAATCATGTGATGCAGTGTTTCCCAACCCTGGTCCTCAAGGCTCACTGCCCTGCATGATTTAGGTATTTCCTTCCTTCAGCCCAGCTGATTTCAATCGATGACTGATTAACAGGCGTTTGTTGAACTGCAATCAGCTGAATCAGGCACATTAAAGCAGGGAAACTGGTCACCAACTCCAGTCCTCCAGGGCTACCATCCTGCAACTTTTAGATTCACCTCTGCTCCAAAATGTCTGAATTCCCTCACCAGCATTCATTCCTCTCTGCAATAGGCTGGAAACGAGCAGTTTATTTGATCCAGGTGTGTTTGAGCAGAGACGTATCTAAAAGTTACAGGATGGTAGGACTGGAGGACTGGAGTTGGTGACCCCTGGTCTAAAATATGTAGGACAGTGTGCCTTGAGGACCAGGGTTGGGAAACTCTACAATCCTCTGTTCTTTTCTCTGCTTATGAAAACACAAAACTAATAAAAATGTGTTTTAAAAAAAATAGATTACCGATTTCCATCATGGACTGTCAGAAGTATAGAAACAGTAATAATGCTGGTGTGTCAACGTTAAACATACACCGACAAAACAACAACTACGCTGTGAGTTCCAAGTGCTGTTCTGGTTGGGATGTCGTTCAGCTCACATGGTGATGGGATGTGAGTGAGCTGCTCCACCCAGAACAGATCGCAGAGGCCAGAAACGTTGGAGATGCGCTCCAGGCAGTTACAGGAGCAACAGTCACCAGAGTGAGTGAAGATCAGCAGTCATGATCAGATCCAGCCTTCCAGTGCGAAGACACCAGTACTCACCAACAGTCACCTGGGTCCCCTCATCCCGGCTCAGATACTCCACCACAGGCCCAGAGACGTAACCTGAGCCCAGCAGCAGAACTCTCTTCATACCAGTTCTCTTCAGGATCTGAGCCTTTTCCCTAAACAACACACACACACACGCACACGCACACACACACACTATAAGTTCTTCCAATGTCTGTAACAAGTGCACTTGTCATATTTTTTGATTCATTGTTACTTCAAACTAAACAATAATGTGTTATCAATGATTTGTTAAGATAAGAGCGGGACTTATTTTTCTCTTTATAGAATCCATTTGATTATCATCATGGCAATTTCAGATTAAAAGCCCAGTTTCTTAGAAACCAAAGGTCAAATGTTAAATCCATTTACAGAGCTGTTAAAGAGTGCAAATAAGTTGGAGCACAAGCATAAAAAAACAGATTAACTTTCTACTTCTGGTTGTACAATGTCTTCTCCATCTTGTAAAACATCTAAATAATTCAAACACTGGAGGCTGTGTGGGATCATAACTATACACATCCTGCTAAGATGTCAGGTTTTGGCCATGCATAAAATGAGACATGACATCAATTTACAACATTTTCCACCAATAATGTGACATTTCCATCCATCAGATATTTTGACAAAGGAAATGGACAAAAGTATTCACTCGTCTGCCTTCACCCACATAAACACTACAGTGACATCTCATTCTTAATTCTGCAGGGTCTAAAGCTGCAGGTTATTACATTTATAAAAAATATGTTTACATGTTTCTCAAAAATGTTGTGACATTATCTCATGAGTCAGATAATCTGTGAAAAAATGAGCTCCTCTCTAGAATATTTCACACATCTGGATCCTTTAGCTAAAACCAAGGCTCCAAAGGCCACTACTCAGGGGCAGAGCTGTGGGGGTCCGGGCCCCCTATGGGTCCGGCCTGGGCCTATGGGGGGCCCGGATGGGAGGCAGAATATGACTTCAGAGATTCAAGTCTGTATCATGTCTTGGAGAAGGTGGGCCCTCTCCTGTTGAGTATGGTGTATGTAGATCATAAAATGGGGTCCCCCAGTAGATTATATAGTAGGCTGCCCCAGTCATTGTTCACTCATGGTTGATAAAAACTTTACAAGACCGACTGATTTTAGTGACATAGTGGGTGTAAAATATTGAATAAAACGTTGTGCTACATGACTGGCTTTATTTTCATTCTTACATTTAACTTTATGACATACTAATTTATAAGTTGATCGCCGATATCGTCTCCAAGTGTATTCTGGGTAAAACACATCACCAACCATCCACAACGTCATCAGTCAGATACTTAGGAATGGATTGTAAACTAGGTAGATTGGAGTATTTTTACGACAAATATGAGTGGCTTTTATTAGTACTTTACAAAATTATGTTTTCATGAGCTTTGTTATTTTAGGTATAAAAGGCCCGGTCATTAGCCCCGCCCCCCAGCCCGACGCCAACTTGTTCCGCCACTACCACTACTTACCAACAAATCAGTCAGGAAGGTACAACACAATCCAAAGCAATGTGTATCATAGCGCCATAAACACAAGAGTGACATTCCTAAAACTGGGGATTTCTCCAAGATTGATGAAAAGACAAGACATGTCACTCTATATGTGGAAAAAGCTTTGAAATGGTCTCAGTTTTATGGCAATTTTAACACTGTCACAGTAGTCCGTGACGGTGTGTGTATGGGCTTCTCCTCCAGGACCCGTTACCTCTGAGACTCGATTTCAAGACAGACAGCTGGGTAATTCAGATCATACTTTCCCAGGTATGATATCCTGGGAAACTCCCAGTAAATGTATTCATCTGGATGGACCCTTTTGAGCAGAAACCAACAACATTTCAGATTCCAAAGTGAATGTTCTACCCTCACTCCAAAAACAACAAGCAGCAAGAATTATTTCAAAATGAGTTAAAATAGAACAGAAGGATTCTTTCTTATCCCACAATGAGAACCAGCAGCAAATTAAACATAAGTGGGCACATACACACATCTTTAGCTGGGTAATTCAGCTAAAGAATTACCTTGACTCAAAGTGGGGAATATAAAAATAAACATATAAGATAAGAAAAATATAATTGTGCCTTTATAAAATTTGCATAATAATAGAAAATAGCAAAATAGAATTGCGAGCATCAGAGAAGGGTAATTTCAAGAAAAACTGCACTAGATGTGCATCCATGTTTGTGTATAAAAATCAACAACATACAATAAGTAAAACTGTGTAACAACGTGTGTGTTCCAATATCAGCAGGAATGTAAACATTCACAGAGTCTGTTAAGACCAGAGAGCTTATCACCTGCTGGGTGGAAGGATCTGCTTTAACGCTCCTTTGTTCACAAAGGATGCAGTCAGAGGTGCTAACATCAAAAAAATCATGGAGTTAACCCCTCTGAGCTTTTTGATCTTTAAAGCAGTCTGCAGTCAAGTTGCTATGGAGATAAAACAGATATTAGGGTTTATCTAAAAAAATAAAATAGCAGCAAATTTGCTTATTTCATAACTTCATAATCAGCTACCTGCTCTCCAATGGTCTGCTTAAAAATGTGGAGGTTCCTCCATCTTTTCCTCAGTGTTAGTATTTATTTAAATGCTTTCATATGATTATAATTTCACTTTTTCTTTGTTTTTTCTTTAGTGGTGGTTATTGCATTTGGTTATTTACTAATTTGGGTGCACACATTTAGTAAACACCTTATGTTTATTTAAGATCATTAACATTTTGTTTTGCTGAGCTTAAGGACTGGCTGGCAGAAGGTGGTTGGTCGACAGGAAAACCAGGAAGTGGAACAGTCCATCAGGCTGCTGGAAGCAGGGGACTTGATGTCAAAGAATCTGCCTCTCTCCACTAACGGCATAATTGCTAAAACCTTTTGGCATTGGGTTATTTTGGTTTTTATAGTGGTGTTTAAGTCAAAATGTTTTAGTTTAAATTAATCATTTATGTTTATACATTATTTGTCTTTGTCTCCATCCCCTCCCCTCCTCGTTTGTGTAGGCTAGCCTGTTTGTATAAATTCCCCTGCGTGTTCATTGTGTGAGGTCAGTTTTTGGTTTGTTGTCTTGAGTTATGTTTGCCTTAGTTGATTTCTTTTGGGCCTATTTTGTTATATTTTTTAGATTTGTTGTTGAAACCGTTTGTTAAGATTTTTTTGGGAAAAAAATAAATAGACGATATTTTTTATATATGCCTTTGCCCTTGTCCTTGACCGGTTGGATCGTCACAAAAAACTACAATCTAAGATCAGCACTGTCCTCCAGCACTGGCAGGTTTAAAGTTGCTGTTTTTGCTGCTATCAGGGAAAACGTAGACTACACTTGCTTTGCATTGTCCTCACTTGGTGACAGTGATACAGTATGATCCTATTAAATATTATATTCTTGATTAATATGGGTTGTTGCTATGTTGTTGTACAGTGTTTTAAGATCTTGTTCAATGTGCCCCTTTTTAACTTTGAGCCTCTGCCCCTCCAAAGGTCTCTGTATGGCCCTAGCCATCTGTTCAATAGAGAATGGCAACTGTGTGTCACTCTGTTGCAGAAAAACAGACCAACTGTCAAAACTAGCTGGTATAGGGTAAAACCAAACTCACAAAAATTAAAGTTGAAATGAAACACAAACAACTACACAGACGTGCAGTTATTGGGAAAACTAGGATCATGTGAAATAGGATAAAAACCTGTTTTGGATATTAAAAATACAATCATAATCATATTTAATAGGAAAATGGTAATAACCTTTATTCAACAAGCAAAGATATATGCTGTCACATTTTACACACACTAAACTGCTGCATTTGTTTAAAGGCTGATTTGAAAATTCTGGATCATCTCCACATCAGGACAACAATAATATGAACATTGTAAGATAATCACCCAGAGTGACTTATGGCATTGTCCAAAGCCTCTCTTCCTGCCAGGAGTCAGACACGACTCATTACTCCAGACTAATTGGAAATGACATCACACACGTAAATGTACAGCAGCATGACTGACTGGAGGTCAGTCATGCACTCGGTGGCTTAATTAGAAAAAGAGAAGATAAATGTTCCCTCGGGGGGTTTATGCATCTTGAGAAGCAGAACTTAATCAAAAGGATTAAGATTTCGCAGGGACAGCTTGTCTAGAAAATCATACTTGGGGTCAAATAAGAAGAAAGCTGATCAAGTCTTGGAGGTGGCCTAAATATGAGTGAGGGGTACGTCTTGGTGTTACTGATCACACTGAGGTGTCCCTTTTAGTGCCTGATATCTTTAAGACAGCTGGTTGTATGGAAGACTAACTGACAAAATCAGAAACAAACAAAAATACATCACTGGAAAGTTCACTGATCAAAGTAGTTTTTTAAAATGATTTTGCCACTTGCTCCAAACAAGTCGTGTAGCTGCAACATCCACAAGTTAAAAAAAAAAAATCATGGCTCTGCATAGATCTATAGATTACTTAAAAGCCAAACAGAAAAAGAGAAAGCTCTGCTAGACTACCACTGTTCTAAAAGGCATAAGTGGTTATTTTATCACACATTTATGTACAGTTCTAGAGTTCACTAGATCAGGGAATCTGTCCCAAAGAAGCATCAAAACACACCTTATGTTTCTCAAGGACTTTGCATTTACCAGAAAAGACCAGACCCAGTTTTTTCATTCCCCACTTTATCAGCCCCGATCCAACTTTAACTTTAACAACGTGTGTTGTTTTAACAGTTGATGTGGCTATTGGATGAAACTGTTTGAGAACTCTACACACTGGGTACTGACTGGAACAGCCATGTGGGACAGACTGATTGGGTTCATGACTGAAGGCAGGCAGAATCGCAGACTAGAGAATGCAGTGAAACAGCTGCTGGGATGGTTTGTTGTTTAAGGCTTGGCACAGTTCTACTCCAGGGTTCTGTTCACCAGAACCTTTTTTAACTAACTGTGTGTTTGTTTCCATTGTGGGTTCTGAACACTGGGCCAGTTAAGTGGATTATGGTCCAGCTATACAAACCTGGGTCCACAGCAGTAGAGTCCAGAATGTGAGCCAAAGAATAGAGATCTCTGACTATTCATTCATTTTTAATAACTATGAACTACCTCTTCAGACTTAGTGGAAATATTCAGGTTGGAAAAGCTCTAACCACAGAAAAAACCCCAGCTGCAGCTGCTACTACTCTGCTGATCTGCTACATCCTAAATATAAAAGTCCACTTTTAGCTCAGCGTCATCCAGAAGTCCTAGCTCCCTAGCTGCTTCTGTTCAGTTCTGGCTCTTGTAGCCTGAGTTCCTGCGGTGGAAACGCACCTTTAAAGCTGCAGTATATTTATTATGAGAGAGACAATCTCTGAAAAAAACGAGCCTCCTCTACCTTCTCCCAGTGCTCGCTACAGAAATAGACAAGTCAGTCAGAAAAAAAAAAACAATCAAAGCCAGGAGAAGGGTCTTAATGCTGTCTAATGTACACAATGCTCACAAATTCCACACTTCTCTCTGCTATGTTACAGCTGGTTCACCACAGCAGAGCCTACAACAAAAGATAAGGCTAGTTAGAATGGCCACCAAGGACGGCAGATAAGCAGTTTTCCTGGAACGGAAACTTATTTCTGTGCCATTATCAAATTTGGCAGCAAGTGCACAAGGTTGATTGACAGCACTTAGGCCCTCTTCCTGGCTCTGATTGGTTGTTTTTGATCAGGAGTCGTTCCATTTCTGAAGACAGCAATAGTAACTCAAGGGGGAGGTGGAGATTTATGGGGTTCCATTTGAGTCCAAAATAAGTAGAAGTCAAATGTGTAGATGTTGTTGGTCTATGTCGTTATGCGACTTTGGTTGATGTCTATGATCTTAGTGCTTTATGGATATGTCGATGTTGCATGTAGATGTTGCATATGTAGGTGATGCATATGTTAGATATTGCATATGTCTATGTTCCATTTGTGTCTACTTATTTTTGACACAAATGGAACCCCATATAGATTATCTGTCTCATAACAGACTGTTACAACATAGTGACAGCTTTCACAAATATATAAAAACATTTTTGTAAAAGTTACATACTGCAGCTTTAGCACCCTGATATTAACAACTGTTAGTATAGGAATGCAGGTAATAAGCCCTGTAGCGATTTTCCTTGTTTAGGTCAGATTATGTATAAAAATGACTGGATTAAATCAGGTGTGTCCAGTCCTCATGTTCTACAATCCTGCAAGTTTTAGATGCATCTCTTCTCCAACACACCTGAATCTAATAAATGGGTCATTACAAGGGCTCAATAGAGCATAAGAGGAAATTCAGCCAATAAACATGGCCTCTAAGCACACTGGCTCCGAGGTATGTGCAGTAAGGCTTCAAACTTCAGAGCTGACAACAGAAAGCAGTGACTTTCAATTAATCAATCAATCAAATTTTATTTGTATAGCACATTTCAGCAGCAGGGCATTTCAAGGTGCTTTACATAATTAAAGAAAAAAATAAAATAAAATAAAAAATAAGAACAGCATGTGACATTGAATAAACAGTAAGAAAGAGAAAGAGATAAAAAGATAAAAACATACTCTCAGCGACCAGCAGGGGGACGTACCTTTTCTCTCGCATTTTTTCAATGTACTCAAACTTTGGGGTGAGAGCTCCATTGGAGGTGATGATGGCCTGGAGACAAACATATTTAGATGGTCACATTAAATCATTACTACAAGAAAAGGCTTGATTATTGTCTGTCATCACAATGGAAAATGATATCCTTTCAGTGGTCCAGATTCCTTTATGATACAATCATAAACTGGTCCAGATGAAGAGTTTCTAGGCTTTCTGATGGGTTTGTTACATCCTCATTTTTAAATCACTTTGGGAAAAAAAGTCATAAGCCCAGTTCACACTACACGATTTTTTGCCCCGATTTTGCCCTTACAACAATCTTAGAACGTTCTGAGTTCTAAGATTATTGCTTCCGATAGTTGTAACCGATCATCCTGAAGTGTGTGGTGTGTTACGACTGATTGGGTCCAGTCGGTAGAAAGTCGGGACAGCTCCAATCTAAAATCTGGAATATTCAACATGTTTAACTTGGCCCGATGATCTCAGCATGTGTGGTGTCCCCCAACTGGGAACGAGAAGGCAGCCTGTTGAATATGACAGGTAGCCAATCAGAAAAAAATAATAATTTTAAAAAACACAGAAAAATTATAAACTTTTCGTACAGAGTACATCTGGTTTAGAAGCGCATTCTAACCCTTGGTTGAAATAGCACATTTAATTTCAGTCTGCAGTAGTAACACAACAGAGAAAAATACAGAAAATGTTATGTTGTGTTAATCTATTTGTAATCTAAACAGGAGCAAATACAGAAAAAAGTAGGTGCAGAAGTTCATTAAACTGTGACAAGCGGAGTGCACTGCACAAATATTGCGCACGCGGTTCCAGGAGCGGTGGAGGTGATGCCAGAAAATTTACAATTAACTCATCATGCACTTTCAATGAATGGCGCTGGAAGACGTTACCCTTCCGCGATCAGTTGGGAAAAAAATTAAGATAACTGCCATCTGGTTTTCTAGAAACGAATACGCAGGACATGCACTCTTCTAGCTGAAGCTGCTCTGATCTATCAATTATTCAGCTTTCTGAAGCAAGGCCCAGTACATACACATATTCTACAACATCAACACAGCAAAACCTTAAAAACTTAAACTGTTATAGTTAATTAAACGCCTTAACAGAAAAAGAAATTAAACTGAGTGTAATGTTTGACTCAAACATAGTGCAGCAAATATAACCCTTGATCGCGCCAGGTCCGGTTCTTAATCTAAAGCTTTGACTTTGTGTTGCGACTTTTTTCGGTTAAAATAAGTCCCCAAACGACAGTTACTGCTTCAACGTCGTTGTCCATGTTTGTTTACTGTAAATTCAGGTGTGGTATCATGGAATTTTAAGGGACTTCATATCTAGAATTGGAATGTTCGTGAGTGAAACCTCACACTCTATGATCGAACACGTTATACCTAGGACTTTTACTCGGCTAGTGTGTCGTAAAAGCAGTGGTGGGAAGTAACGAAGTACAAGTACTTCGTTACTGTA